ACAGACAGCCTCTCGACAATATGCGTTTTTGCTGGCTGTAGCTGCACAGCAAAAACGCATAAAAAGAAGCTTTGAAGTTGAAACATTTAGAGCATGTCCCCACCTCATGTGCAACCCTACTGCTTTAATACAGTCTTCCACGCACGTCTAAGTTTTACGTTTGGATGTCTGAAAGAAAGCACGCATATTTTTTAGCGTGAAACAATCTCGGGAACCAAATAATACAGGGAAATGAAATTTCAAGGACCTTTGTGTAAGCTGAAATGGCCTTTTTGTAAGCTTCTAACGTGAAACGACCTTTGTGTAAGTTAAAGATTTCAAATTCAGCTTATTATATGCATCAGCGTCACAAATACTTGTATGTCGAATTTGAAATCAAAGCATCATCAGCAAAATGCCTAATCGAGAATGAGATGAAATAGGATGCACTGACTTTATGAGAAACTTTTATGCGTGGTCATTTAGCATAATGCGATCACGCAGGCATAAAATAGCTTTGGCGTGCACTCCTGTCATGCATTCAAAACCGTCAAAGACGTTTATAACGAACAGCAATTTTTCCAAACTGCTCAGCTAGGAAACTGAAGTTTCACAAGGTCATTCTAAGCTCATGTGCGACCTAAATATTTCAAATCCAGTTTTAAAGCACGCCTAGATCTCATGTGTGCGCAAGAGAAAGTTTAATTTGAGACAACATTAGCACCCAATTAACTCCGCAATCAGGCTGAGCAAGAATATTCTGATGATTCTTGCTGTCCGTATGCAGGTCAACAATCGTTAAAACGAATTTGTGCTTCTGCATGTGTCCCGCGTACAGATGCACCAAATATTCATTGCAACACTGGTGTTATCCTTTCCTTTCAGTAATCAGACACGAAAGCTGACATTTTATGAGAATGCTGGCGTATCTTGCGCGACACTAAAAACGTATAACTAATTTTCATATATGCCTACGTCTCGTGCACGGATGAGTGGTATTTGGGGGCGTAAAATCGTGGGCAATCCCTATGCAAAATAATGCTGGAGGCTGAGTTTTCAACCGCCCCACAATACAACACCATCATCCCAGTCGACGCTCCTTTTCCCTTGCATACAGGGCCTCGAAACGGCTAAAGCTTTGCCAAGCGTCTCTGCTAAGAAAACTGTTAAGCTAGTAATCCCATGAATAGACGAAAAACGTTACAGTCATCTACAAGGGACTACCTGGCTATGCAGCATTGGTCAAATGAGTTGAAAAAGTTGCGAAATGCATAGGGGAAGAATAATGCCATAAAAATTGCAGCTGATCAAAGCACCAAAGTATCTTTTTTTTTTAACAAATATTGTTCCGGGTGATTTGAAAAGTCTAAAACCTGCATTATTCTTACAGCGTTTTAAATACTTTTAGTAAACAAAGTAAGCTGAGCTCGCCAGACTGCGGATAATTCAGTGCATACTGTATGCAAAAATATGTACAAATATGCGTTATTTGTTAAAGCGGCTAACCTTTAGTGCACACCGATTGATAATATCCCACAGCAGTGTGCCACCACGTATCTTAGGAGTTTCTACTTCAAAATTGACATCGTCATACGGCGGCAAAACTAAATTGTTTCATAACAACAAAAGTTGGTTTCAAAAAAGCACGCTAGCATAAGTTAGTAACTAACGTCGGTGCTCGATAACATTATACAAGCGACAGTGGTGAGTGTGCACTTAAGCACCAAGAATTTTATTTTTTTTGAGCTGCCGACCGAGGTATTCGTACAATTTAGCCTTGAATTTCGGAAGATAGAAAGAAAGAATGGGAAAATTGAAGAAAGTAAGGAAATTCTGACGGAAAAAGTTAGAAGAAAAAGACCTAATCTGACGCATAGTTTCAAGTCGGCTGGTGTTTTCAATCGCATTCGTTTTGATAAAAATTAAATGAAGCTACTTCGCAATTTCTAAAAAGGATTCGACGAATCCCTATCAAGGTATACTGAGGTTATCGGTAAACTCACATCCATTTATCAGGTCAATAAGCGCGTTGTTGATTTCAATCATTGCATCCAGCACATCTGCTGATACTGGTATGTTTAGGCCGTAATCCTTCTGAAAAAAAATGTGAAACAAGCACTAACTTATAGGATAGCAATCTGGGATTAGTTGGATTTGCGGGAATACGACTTCAGTTGGAGCATTTTAAACATTGGTTTTAGGATCTGTATCACGAAATACTCTTACCCCTTGTTTACCGATAATATGCGCCATTGGCAAACTTATAATTCAGTGAAATAAAGTTGTAAAAATTACAGGGTGCTCCAGGAAGAGCAATTTTTTGCGCCCTACAACCAAAAAAATGCAAATCTCTCTCTCTGTCGCAGAATAATGGCACAGTGCAAAATAATCGATTTACCTCGATCTGAAAAGCATCACGATATT